AAAAAAAAAAAAAAAAAAAAAAATCTTATGCCCAATTTCAACCTAAACGGCATTCATTTTTCACATATACATTGTCTTTATCTTCTTTAATAATTTACATAACTTTTGTTTATTTGCCAGTTACTTAGGTTTTTACCTTATTTTAGAAGAATTTACTTCAAGATTATAAAGGGAGTTAATTAGTTTTTATCTTAAAAGTTTTAAAAGGATTTACTTCAAATTTATAAAGGTCTTCACGCTGTGCTCGTTTAAGTTTCTTAAATGTTACTTATTGGTTACATTAGACCTGCAAACGAATCAAGCGACTCGCGAGCTTTGAGTTGAGCTCGAGCACTTTAAATTCGAACTCAAGCTTGTAAACTTGAGTGTTTGACGGTTTGCAAAATTGCATGTACAATTATCTAAATACCTTTAACTCAAGCAAAATTCGCATCAATTCGAGCAACATTCTTAATTGAATAGATAAATCTTATTGAAATTTCGGGCCACTTAAGCACAATTTGAGCTGATCAAACTCAACCGATTTCAAGGTTCGATACAGGAATCATGAGGCAGACACAATAGTGGCCACATAGAACTGACTCACAGCCATCTAATATCACCACCAGGGCCATTTTTCCAAAGTTTTTCAGTCAAATATTCTCAAACAAACAAAAATTATTTTTCTGACATACACAATAATGCATAATAATTGAAATATTATCTGATGACAGTTATCTAATATCCCAATAAAAGTAGAACACACCAATTTCCCATCGAAAAGCCCCAAATTTAAAAAATTCCGAAATCACACGCGGTTCCAAACAACAATTAAAGTAAATCAACCACCGATATAAACAATGAACATAATCCTAATTTTAAGATCTCCGAAAAAAGCTCAAATCGAAACGTAACCATTCACCGGAGGGACCAAATCGACAAAAACGATCTCAGTAGATAACTTGGAAAAGTTAATTGCAAGCCAGGGCAGAATGCGTACCTCTTACTTCACCCCACCGCTCTCTCTCTCTCTCTCTCTCTCTCTCTCTCCTACGAGAGACGATAAAATTTGGCCAACTCGGAGGATCTTGTGTATACTCGAAAGATCGACAGTTCAGAATATATCGGACGGCCTATATCGATCACTGTGTTTCGTTTGCTTAATCTGACGGTACCGAATGGGGTACGTCTACGTC